TAGATTAAGCTTTTATTTTATTAATAGTAAGAGGAGGGGTGGGTAACATATATGCACTTTTTTTTTTTAATATTTACTCTTATAAATTGTCAGAAACAATTTTTTGCTATAAAAAGTTTAATATTTTTATTGCAATTAGCTGTAAATGCATTCTATTTTGTTTGAGAGCAGGGGTGTTGTATCTTGGATTAATTTGAACTTTATTTATTTTTTTAACTTTGAAATAAATTTGGGAAGATTTCTGTATTGTAATTTGTGTCAGAATTACCGCTAATTCTAGTCAACTTCCAGGCAGCGTCACGCCGGAGACTAGAAAAAAGAAACTTGTAACCAAACCCAGGCAAACTACTTCATTTCTATTTAAAAAAATCAAGTTTAAGATTCATTTGGCACCATGACGATTTTAGTTGGCGCGACAGATTACCGTCATGAAAATATCTCAGTTAATTCAAATAATGGAATATACATTATACATTTGTCCATTAATATTTTCTTTATTTTAAGTGTGTATAAATGTTGTCATACGCTTAGTAAAATTTATTAATTGAAACAAATAAACTTTTCCTTAAGAAGAAGCCATTGTTTCTCGAGATGCAAAAACTACCTCGTACTCTGGAGTATTAAAAGAAGTGAAGATTTTTAATCAAATAAGCTTTCATCAAGTTAAATTATGGTGTGTTATAAATCACAAAGTAGTTTTTTGAATTTCGTTGTTAAGCAAGTTTTACTAATTAATTAGTTAGCGAATTTTGTGAACTGATCGTAAAGACATTGTACCCAGTTGAACACTGAAGTTAAGCATCACAAGCTGCGGTCAGTAAGCGGGTGGGCGACTACTTTGATCAGCCTGAGTAGGGATCGAGAGTGCGCGAAATCGGTCCTCGTTAAATTGTTCCACCGTAAAGTGCTCGACTTCGAGCGCTGGTCCTCAAAACGTACGTACTATAAGAACGTACTTTAAGAACGTGCGTGCACTGTAAAAAATTCCGGATTGAATTCCGGTAAAAAGTATCAGCACTCATGGAACAAAATATCTGATATACCGTTATTTTTACAGTAATGATTCACGTAAAATCCCTGAATCATTTTATTAAATAAATATTACTGTAAAAATTACGGTTTAATATTGTACGGTAAAAAAGGATTTTACTGTAAAATGCATTTTATAGATGTGCACCCAAAGTGCCGATACTTTATATTGTAATTTCATCTTGAATTTTTTATAGAGTATAGGTATCTAAAAATATCTATATAGGTATCTAAAACTATTTGTATAGCTATCTATAACTATCTTACTTATCTATCTAGGAAACTAAATTCTTTTTTCCCTACCATTAAATGAAAAGTTAGATATAGGACTTTAAAAAATTATTTTGTCACTTTGAAACAAATGTTATGAAATTTGAGAAGAGTCCTTATTTTGGATATCCATGCATTAATAATTTTCATTTAAAACTTATTAAAAAAAACTTTATAATATACATTTAATGTAGTTTTATCATTGAAAAAAATATTAGGTTTTATTAAAAAATATTAGGTTTTATTATGATTCGACAAAATTTCCAAAAATGAATCAATTTTAAAAATAAAACCCTGCATTAATGTTTAAAATTTTAATTTTATTAGCTTGAAACATTTTTCACATCTGATGAATAAGGGTAAAAAAATGTGAGAAACAGTCACGCAAGTACTATTAATTTGCATGAAGTCTTATTGAAGAATTTTCATCCTAAATTTGATATGTATAATAATAAATTGATATGAATAATTTTAATGCATGAGTGAAAAATTAATTAAATATAATCAAATTTTTAATAGAAAACTATTATTTATAAAATAACATTGTTTTAAATTAATTTTAAATTTAATCTATGCTATTTTATGTATTTGTATGTATATCTATTATTGTAATTTTCTTTAGCAAATTCTTAAGACTCAAGGGCGCTTTTTCATTACACGACACGATAACGACAAAACGGATCCGATTGTCGGCGAACGACAGAGGGTCAAGTAAAATACATGGTCAGCAACGGAGGGCTTTTTCACTCACCGATACGATAACGATTATGTCGTATCCGACAAGGCGATATCGTTTGTCGGAATCGAATGTCGGTTAGGCAAGCAAATTTCTCCTCAAATCGTGGCGATTTTATTAGTTGTTGTGTATCTTTCCTGTTTTATCTCCTCTTTTGATATCATTATTTTATTCTTTTAATCAATTTTAATCTTTTATTAGATCAAGTCAAATGTAAAATTTGAAAATAAAAGTTTTATATAATTTATTCTCATGTCTGGTTATAAATTTTTAATTTTATGAAGTTGCATTTTTTACATTATAGTGGGGTTGAAAGACTTAAACAATCATAAAAGTTTCATTGAAAATATTTATAAATTCATTATATGCTTTAATGAAGAGATGGTATTTTGTATAATAGTAATGGTTTGATAAGAAGGCAAATAAAGACCATTATGCATTTCAAACAGAACTCGATCTAACTACTGGTTTCTGCTTGATTGAATAATAAAAAGTCTGCTCCCTGATTCAAGGGAAAAATTTTTTTGAAACATGGTAGAGCGGCTTCATAAGATAAATTTGATAAAGCTCATTTAAACAATCATCTAAAAAGATTATTCTAAAGGAAACTAATATTTTAATTCGATTTTGAAAAAAACGTTGATACTTTAAAACATTTAAAGAATTTAAGTAATGTTAAGTGATTACAGACGCAAGTTGGCGAGCAGACGCCAACTCAAAAGTCATATAAAAATTATTCCTCATTAACATCATTCTTGTTCTTGGTTTCTCTCATTCGGACGTAATTAAAAAATTTATTTGGGACTTTTTGTAGCCTATGGAAATGCACATAAAAATCTTCTTCAACATATCTTGCCTCATTTATTTCGTGCGTACTTACGTTGTTGCAGAAGTTGCGACAATAAAGGCTGTAGATTAGCAGCACTTAAAAACCGCCAAATCTGTAACTGCGGTGGCGTTAATACGTAAGTACCATTTCGTGCACCCAAAAACGTTTCTGCACTGCTAGCTTTTTTCTTCTAAAATAAAGTAAGAAGTTTGAGACGACGATTATCATCCGGCATATTTAAAGTTTGCAGAAAAAAATCACAGCAGAACACAAGCAACTGCTCACTTGTTGGGTCTTTGTGCCAACTAAATTAAATGAATGCCAATTTACGATACTACAAATAATTTTATCAAAAAAATAACATATTTTATTTCTTAAGCATTTTAGAACACAACAACATTTATTATATATCTAACTCCGTTGCCAAAACGAATTCAAAACTAAAACTTATAATTTTTCAAAACACGTTCAAATAAATTATTTAAATTTTATGTCTCTACACACTCAAACTCAATACATTGAATGAACAAGAATTTCTACTTCTCGGACTAACGATATCGGACAAGTGAAAAAACAATTGCTTGAACGATCCGGCAACGACATTGTCGTTCACACATTTGTCGTCCGAATTTGTCGGTATCGTGTCGTGTAATGAAAAAGCGCCCTCACGTTATGCAAAAGGAAAAGAAGTTATTTTATTACGAAAGTCAACGGAAAAATAGCCTGTCATTAGAGGCTTCAAGCAATTTATTTCCCTATTTCCTTCCAATAAATGGCGCCCTTTCAATTTATTGATAGCGTAAATAACTTTTCAAGTACTAGTTTGATTAGCAATGTATTAATGTGATTAATTTGATCAAATGCGTCATACGCGTTTTGCTTAACTTGCTTCAGAAATGACCATGAATTTGAATATTACATTAATTTATCACAATCGATTTTTTTTCTTTCTCTTTTTCTCTTATTCTTTTTAGAAACACACAATTAATTTATTGTAAAGAATAAATAAGGATAAAATGTATTTGTAAAATATATTATATATCTATTTATATTTGTAAAATTATTTTATATATATTATATTCAATATTTGTAAAATTCATCACAGTCATTCAAAGAAATGGAAGGGGGAAAAGGGGGGGGGGCACACACTGTAAAAAATTCAGGATGAAATTACGGTATATGGTACTGGCACTTTGGTTTTAATCATCGGTAAAATCCATTTTACTGTACTATTCATTTTTACCGTGAAATATTTATATCGCAAATTGTACAGTAATATTTATTTAATTAGAGTGATTCAGTGATTTTACGGTTAAGTATTACTGTGAAAATTATGTTATATGTTGTTCTGTAACATATTCCGGTAAAAATGGATTTTACGAAAAAAACACACCGGCAGATTGAGAGATAGTACTCTTTTTACAGTAATTTAATCCGGACCGTATTTTTACCATACTTTTGATGCTGATCGTGTTTTTACCGTAATTTGATAGGGATTTTTATACCGTGGGTATGACAACTATGTTCAATATATAGTTAAAATTAAATAAATTATTTAAAAAATATTTTATCTCATTATTTACGAATGTATTTTCTTCTTTACAGAAGAACTTGCATTAAACTTACTGTCAAAAATGATATTTGAAATTGTTTAGTATTTTATATAGATAATTAACTTATAGATAAACTTAGGTTTTATATAGATAAGCTTAAGGTTTGTATAGATAAGCTATACTAATAAGCAACTACACTTTAAAAAATCCCGGACCAAGTTACGGTGTATAGTTTGGCTCAGTAGCTTTAATCACCCGTAAAAATATTATATTGTAAATTTTGCAGTATTATTCATTTAATTGGAGTAATTCAGTGATTTTACAGTTACTGTAAAAATTATGTTACATGTTGTTCTGTAACATGCTCCGGTAAAAATGGTTTTTACGATAAAAAAACACTGGCACGTTGAAAGATAAATACTCTTTTTACTGTAATTTAATCCGGATCGTGTTTTGACAGTAATTTGATCCGGAATTTTTTACCTTGTATTTGACAACTATGTCCAATACATAGTTTAAATTGAATCAATTATTTTAAAAATGTTTTAATTCATTATTTACTAATGTATTTTATTCCTTACAGAGGAACTTACATTGCATGGACTCTTCCCAAATGTTTTCAATCTTGCTGCTAGCTCAGTTATAACAGTAAATGCTACTTGTGGTGAAACTGGACCAGAAGTCTATTGTAAATTAGTTGAACACGTATATTTACGGTAATATTATTTATTTACATCATATTTGTATCACTCTAGTTTGAAAAATATTCGTTTACTAAGATAATCTTGATATTTTATTATAGATTCTTCATTATTTAAGACAATGAACAGTAAATATTTTAAAAAATATCGAAATTCCTTAGTGTAGTAGAAGATGAGATTTGTTATTTATTTTCTTAATTTTTTAATGCATACAAAGCGAAACAAATTATTATTGTTTCGCATTTTTACATAAAAAGTTTCTATGAGTTTTAGTTTTAACAATAGAAATTACAAAAAACTTAAGTATCTTTTTAACGTTGAAAATTGTATGGCTATTAAGTATGGTATTGTTTCAGATGCTAAATTTTGAATTATGCACAAAATGACAAATGTATGAATAAAACTTTCTTCCCTAAATTAAGGGGGAAGGGTGCATTCATTTGACCCAATTTTCAACTTATTCTGGATAATATTTTAGAAGAAATCATTCTTATTTATAAAAATGCTAATTGTGGAAACAGATTTTTAAATTATTCTGAATACCACTTAAGGATGAAAAAAAATATTCGCAGTTAAAAAAATAATAATAATTATTATCATGAAAACTGATTAAAGAGTTCGAAATTATTTTGAATATCTAATATGAAAAAATATACCACTCGTAATTCTACAAATAATGATTACATAAATTATTTGAAGAGATTTCGAATTATTTTGGCTATCATTTCATGTAGGGAAAAATTAAGAAATTTGTTGTAGCATTTCATTTAAAACAGTGGCCACTATTTTAAAAGTGAAAAAAAATGTTTACTTCATATTTTACGATAGGTTGAAAAAACTTAGAAAAGTAAGTTATGCACATTTTTATGCCAATTTAATATACTTAATTTTAAATGACAAAATAAAAAATTTGCAAGAAATCGTCCAAATAGTTTTTGAAAAACAAAAATTTAAAAATACGGCTTTTTGTAAGCAGACTAATGTCGTAAAAAAGAACATTAGTTTTGAGGGGCCCAAACTTTTTTGACCCTTTTCTTGATCGAACTATTGTGACCATATTTTCAAGATTACGCCAACCTCCCAAATATTAGGGCTCAAGAATCCAACTCCGTCGAAATAAATATGTATTTCTTATTCAGAAAAAATACGTGTTTGAGTAACTTAAATTAATAAGGTTAAGTGTTCAAACCATTAAGAATGAGTTTTAGACTTGAAAAGCCGGTCATTAAATTTTGAATAATTAAGGTCTTATTTTTTTCACACTGTTATTTGTAAAGAAAACTAACAAAACAAAAATTACAGCAAATCCATCAAATAATGGTGTTATAGTGTGTTATGAAACTTCACCAAATTAAATGTTATTATAGAGAAAACGAAGCTTCTTTAAGAAATCGAGAATCTCAAGATCAGTGCGGAGTTTGTGATGCAAAGAGCACTAGTCAAGATAAAAAGCATCCAATTGAAAACGCAATAGATGGAACAAATCGATGGTGGCAGAGTCCTACTCTTCAAAATGGAAAACATTATGAATGGGTTACCATTACGTTAGATCTGAAACAGGTAAAGATGCTTCTTTTTCTAGAACATAAATTGCTTCTGAGTGTTTGATTTCAATCGTACAAGGTATTCAGTAGGAACTACTTTAAATACAGGGTGGTTGCAATTAAAGTTTCACTTTGAAATAGTCATAAAAGGAAAACTACTGAAGAAATGTTATCGAACTTGGTAATTTAAAGGAGGTTATAAGAATTTATTTTCCGCCAAAAAAATAAAAAATTAGAAACTCATTACCAGCGATAAATGACTCTGATGCAAGATTGTTAAACAACATAAGACCAGAAGAGACAGGTTTAAAATGTATTTAATCGTTTCTTAAACGTGTTACAAATCATGTTCAGTGTGACTTTCACAATTTTCCAAAAACAAATTAAATCGTATTACTGCATTCTCAACAGTAGCTCTTAGTATAAGGAAAGCGAAAGATTGTCCAATGCGAAGGATTGAGCCGTGCGAGGCTCAGGGGATAGAGCGCTCGCCTCCCAATGAGGTGACCTGCGTTCGGTTCGATCCCAGGGACAGCTGGTCGATTCGATCTCCGCACCCGGCTCGAATAAATAAAAATAAGAAGTTCCGACAGTATACTGCACGCTTCGTATTGCTTTCTCCACTGCTAATGTAACAACCTTTCCGATTTTCATAACAGCAGATTCCCTTCCCCTCCTACTTGCAACAACAAAGTAAATTAAATTCCAATCTTTATTTCGTTTAACAATATTGAACACAGCTTGATTCCTTCCCCTGGTAATTTCTTCCCCCTCTTTAACTTTTTTTTCGGCGGAAAATAAATTTTTATTTTGGCGAAAAATAATTCTCCTCTAAACTATTACCAAGTTCAATACCATTTGGTGCAGTAGTTTTTCTTTTATAACTATTTCAAAGTGGAGCTTTAATTACAACCATCCTGAAGAAGAATCCTTTTCAAAAATGAAGTGAAAAAAAATTACGGTCATTATGGGAAGACATTAGGTATCTCAAACTAATATCCAAGCGGAAAAATGAAACTATTGAAATTTATCGAATCAGTTGGAAGTTTGCTCTTAAAACATCAAGACTTCTTTGTTTTCTGGAGAAATCAAAAAGAAATTGAAAACGATTATTCAAAACAACTCCAAGCTCCATATGGCAATGAAATTGGTTTTAAAATTTCACAAAGTGCTTTCCTTTCTAGTGATTCGATACATTTCTGTACCGTTCTCGCTTAAATATTAATTTGAGACCCTTTATGTGTATACTTTTTAACATTATTTTCAACAAGAGTTGTAAAAAACCTTTATTAAGGGCAGTCATTATGGACTATACAAGTAAATAATACAGGAATGAACTTGGATTTCAAACATGCTTTTTTTTCATATTTTAAAGAACCTATTTAAGAAAAAAATAATGCTTAATATGTCTGAATAATAAACATTGAAACAGTTTGATTTCGGACGAGTGATACATTGAAATGGTTAATTTTGTCAGCAATGCGAAACTAACTAATCGGGACAAAAAAAATTAAACGATCTGGGATATAAGACTTCCTTTTGTAAGTATACTTAGAAAACCATAAAAACCATGCTAAACCATAGTATTGTTCAAATTATCCATTTATGATTCAACCATATTATAGTTCAAAGGTACGGATAGTAGGGTTGAATCTTTAAAAAGAAAATATTCTAAGAGGTGTATTGAGATGTTTTTAGTTCCAAAATTATCAATTTATTCGCAAATTCTGCTTATGAAAATGAAATCTTTAAGCAATTTCAAGAGTAAAAACAAATCCAGACATAAAAAGTTAGTTTAGTTGACAGGGCTTCTGACAACTTAAGAATTAAATTCTTTTTTGTTTCATTCTTATAGGTATACCAAATAGCTTATGTGATAGTCAAAGCAGCCATTTCTCCACGCCCAGGCAATTGGATTTTGGAAAGGTCATTGGATGGAATTATTTACCAACCATGGCAGTATTATTCCCTAAGTGACAAAGAATGCTGGGACGTCTATGGTATCAAGCCAACTGTTGGTAAACCGCATTACAGGGCAGATGACGAAGTTATTTGTACATCCTACTATTCGAAATTGAATCCTTTGGAAAATGGAGAGGTGAGTATTGTATTTTAATCTATATTTTCTCCGTTCACACTTAATGTATAAAACTTTCTGCACTTTCAATAATAATTGAAAGTGCTTTGAGAAATTGAAAAATTACTTATGTATTACTTTTGATATTCTGATATCATTACATATTTATAAATTGGGATGCTCTTTATTTTAATGGATGCAGCCCTTAAAGACAGAGAGATTTAACATTTTCACCTACCATCCCGCACGTAGTTAATACGAAGCAAGCATACGTAAACGGTCAAAGTGATACGTGATGGTGGGTGGTAGAATTTATCCCAATGCTTTAAATGAACTCTAAACCGGGTCCCTGAAAGTGTGACAATATTCCATTAATTTTGAGGCAACCATTGATGTTTTTAGGAATAGATCTTCCACAGTATGGTTTAGGCGGTCCTGGATGTGCTCCGGAGATGCTGGAAAATGCTAAATCTCTGTAATGTCATGTTGTACAAACGTGCTATTTTACGAAAGCACCCATCGATGAGCAGTGCGTCATTGTATGCTTTCTGTGATCAGAGAAAAATCAAATTGCAGACATTCACTGTAGTCTGATACCGCATTGATTAAAGAAGATGGAAAAATTGGAGTTAAAGTTTTGAGTTGGTTGTACAAGTTTGATTTCCACTGAGTACAAAAACTTACCTCACTATTACAGAACTTTATTTGTGACTTTTTTCTACAACTACATACAAGCTGAGTGGGAAAAAGAAATAATGTGTTAAAAAGACAAACAACCATTTTAATATTTAAACGAAATGCCGGGTGTTCCAAAAATGACCGATGGCTTGAAAAATCAATCAAGAAAAAGATAGAAGATGGGAATATACGGTTTTTTTGCGTTCTGCATCGGAAAATATGTATAACCCTATTTGTATAAATATATTTTAAAAAAGACAGCGTAAAAGGCAACAAAAAAAGAATTTAAAAATTAAAAAAAATAATAAAAAAATAAATTGCCCTTTACGCTGCCTTCCAATTAAAAAAACTAAAAAGACAGACAACAGTTTCAGTACTATAAGAAATACCGGCAGTGCCAAAAATGATCGACGATTTGAAAATGAAATAGAAAAACGGGAGAAGATTCTCACCAGCTTTCAAAATTAGTTGCAAACTTTTTCAATAGATGATGCTGTCAACTCTAAAGTTAACTGGTTATAGTGGATCAAATAAGGCACATATTCTTCGCTAATTTTAAAGGAAAAGTGAAATCAGTCTTAGTAAAATTAAGCTTGAATTCTGATTTATTATTCAAGAATTCTTCTCCTAACATTAATTTTTCTTTCTTCCAGATTCATACATCCCTTGTTAATGGCAGACCTGGTGTGGATGGTCCCAGTAGTAAATTAATGGTATGTTATCGATACAAAAAAGAGCTTACTGGAAAAACGTTTAACATTACATTTTGAAAGGAATTGAAGTCCTGGTTCAGAAACACATTATATCATCTGTAAAAATGCGACATTTATTTATCTCGAAAAAAGGGTGGATTTCAATGAAAAATATGATAACGCAATAAAAAGACTTACTGCGTTTTTCTACAAAGTTCTTCACTTCATTGCTTTTCTTTGGCATTGCTTTCATTAAAATTCAACAAAATGTCCCTTAATGAGTTTTCGCGCGAAATTCTTCACTTTATTGCTTTTCTTTGGCATTGCTTTCATTCAAATTCAATAAAATGTCCCTTAATGAGTTTTCGCGCGAAATTCTTCACTTTATTGCTTTTCTTTGGCATTGCTTTCATTCAAATGCAGTAAAATGTCCCTCAATATATTTTCCACGAAGTTCGTCACTTTATTGCTTTTCTTTGGCATTGCTTTCATTAAAGTTCAATAAAATGTCCCTTAAAGTGTTTTTCCACGATGTTCTTCCCCTTATTACTTTCCACTGTCATTGCTTCACTAACTAATTTACTGATTTGTTTCATTTTCCAATTTTATTTTTGATACAGGAATTTACGAAAGCCAGGTACGTAAGATTGAGGCTGCAGAAAATTAAGACTCTTCATGCTGATTTGATGACTATGCAGATAAAAAATCCTGAAAATACTGACAAAGCTGTTTCAAGAAGAGTGAGTATCAAATATTTATCTGCAGATACTTTTTAGTTCAATGGTATCTAAAAATATTTAATGTTCATATATCATTCATAGAAATAGTACAACCATATCTTTATTTTTTCTAGTACTTCTATTCCATAAAAGACATTTCTGTAGGTGGTCAATGTGCTTGTTCAGGACATGCTGCTACTTGTGTTTCAGATCCTGTAACTGGGGTAACTCCATTTATATAATCATTTAAAAGAAAAGGAATTTTTTTTAACACAAGATAAAATCTTATTTGTTCTGTAACATATTTATGTATCTTATTTTAAATATTTAAAATATGCAAAGACATTCTATGTATACATTATTATACTGTATGTATACGTTATTATATTAATAGTTTGAAACTTTTTTTTGTCACTTTTTATACATATTAAGGATAAAACAAACAATGAATTTGCAATAATATAACATATTTGCATAATAAGTTACACCTTGAATTCTTTTTTTTATTGCTTATAAATTTTGTTTTAGCATAATCTATTTAACTGGAATGTAATTATGTTGCAGTAAAACCTATTTAAATGTTATGCTAGCCAACATTTAAATTCAAATATAATAAAAGTCTATATTTAAGATAATACATCTACATTTAAGACAATTCTAAAACAGGTGAAAATTTAAATGAATTACAAAAATGAACAGCTTGTATTCACTCTGGAATTTATAAAAAGCTGCGTGCACAAAAATTATTGAAGTGTGCTTAAAAATAGGTTAGAGTACCATGAAACACGTTTTCCTAGAAAAAGAAAAAAACTTTATTTACTTATTTATTTTATTTCTTGCAAAAATACTTAATATGAATTTCTTTTACACGGATATTTAATTTTTCTCTAATAAGCAAAGAAAGTTCACACAATTTTGACTGGCAAAAGTTGAAAAAAAGAAATATAAAACACATTTGTTGTAGCCAAATTTAAATTCATATAAATTTTAGCAATCTAAATTTTATTTAATTCCCTGATATCAACTGAACTATTTCTAATTGGTAAATTTAATTGATGATAAAAAATTTCATTTGCTTAAAAAAATATGAAGATGGTAATAAAAGTCGACATGCTTTAAGAGAGCTCAAAAATAGGCGCCCATTCTCAAGACTCGACAAGCGGGAATGAGGAAAACCAAAGTGATTTCAAACAGAAAACGTAAGTTGCACACGAAAAAAAAAAATATATCTCTAATTTTTCGTGATATTAAATAAATACCAATAAGAATTCTCATTCTTTATATTCCTATCAAATTGTAGAAAAATCTTTATTTAAAAAAATTATTGTGTCATTTTTTTATGTAAATGTTTTGTTGTGCAACTTTATTTAACATTTAAAATTTCGCATTAGTTTTCAATTTCTGCATTAATTTTGAATTTTTATATCATAGATAGATTTGTAAGGTTGATTTTAATGTAAAAGCAACCTTTATCACAAAATACCAACAAGATTTATAAATAATTACCAAATACACCATGCAAGCTTGAAACGATGTTAAATTTAACTATGCTAGGTTCACGTTAAGCTTGCATAAACAGCCCGCCCTTTGGTATCGAAATTGAATCTAAAAACATTGCACATCCTCATTAAAAAATTTTGCGTTTGAATATTTTAGCACACAAAGATAAAAAAAAGTTCAAAAACAAAATTTGCTGTAAAAGCTGAGAATATGTTTTTCTTTTTTTTTTTTTTTTTTTTTTNTTTTTTTTTTTTTTTTTTTTTTTTTTTTTTTTTTTTTTTTTTTTTTTTGGTGAAGGTTTAGGCTTGCTTTTATTCAATCGTTAAGCAATAATATTGACTTCTTCACGTTTCTTTTTGTTTGAATAATAATCAATCAATCAACCTTATAGTGTCAATAAATAAATTATTAAATAAAAAACCTTGAATACAACATTTGCTGTAAGGTTGGGATGTATCTGGGATCAATTTTAAAAAATAGTATTTATTTCAGATTTTTCTTGGATTGTTATTATGCATTGTTTTTTTTACAGAAACTTCAATGTCAATGTGAACATAACACATGCGGTGACAATTGTGATAAATGCTGTCCATTATACAATCAGAAACCATGGAATCAAGGAACTAGCAACAGCGCTGCAGTTTGTGAACGTGAGTTGACCCCTATTATTAGAATTAAAACTCAGATGCTTGTCTCAAAACATTAATTAAAAAATTATTATTTTAGAGTGCCAGTGTTATGGTCATTCAGATCAATGCCATTACGAACAAATCGTCGCTGACAAGCGTCTAAGCATTAATGTTCATGGGCTATATAAAGGTGGAGGAGTCTGTGATAAGTGCAAAGTATGAATGTCTATTTGCATTTTTTTCTCTTGAATATCTTGCATTGTCTGAGCACGCTTTTTGATTACATTTTCATCTTATTAACAGTATACCCTGTACCAGTTTTAAACTTAAACACCCACTTTTTCTTTCAGACAGCTCATATGATCTCAGAGGTAAAGGGTTTTTCGTCAACAACACCCTTACTATATTTTTTAAAATCCTTTTTCTGGAATAAAGTTAAAAGAAAATAGCAGTAGTAATTTATTTACGTCGCACTAGAGCTGTACTAGAGCAATTTTGAGTTTACGACTATCAATGTTCAACTCCGTAACCTTGTAATTTCGAACCCGATACAGAAGACAAAGTAACTTCTAGATCAATTGGAATTAACTAGCCTTCGTGGAGTAATTTTTGATGGAACTGTACGCATTGCCGTTACATGGAGTAGAAAAACATGAAAAACCACCTACGCTTAGCCCGACGGCAAGGGGATTCTAACCCATAATCCGTCTACCAATGAGGATATTTTATGTCAGCATTGTCGTCTTTGTGAGTGGCGAACGGAATTCGTATCAACCAGCTACCGCTGGAATTCGAACTTGGATCACCTCCTTGTTAGGTGAATATTCTGTCCTCTGAGCCACAGTGGTTCACAATCGACCATCTAGGAAACATCCTATAGAAGATTATCCGAAGACATGCCATCATCCCAATTGTGTTCCTTAGTAGAGGGGATGGCACCCCTGTTTTGGTAGCACGACAACCTGCAAGCGAAGTCGAGCACTTTATGGTAGATCAGTTCAACGAGAACTGATACCTTTGCAGGCTGATTAAAGCCATTCGGTGTTCTGAGAACCGTCTCTTTACGATCATTTATTTCCACTATCTGACTAAAAAAAAGATACACATTAGAGATCGTAAATTAATATTTAACTAAGATAAATACAAAAAAAGTACGAAACGTTGATATAAATAGAAAACGTTATCGAGTTCTAATCATTTTCCAGAGAAGGAAAGTGAGATTAAAAAACATCAAGAATTATGTAATTGCTGCAGAAGACAGAGAGGAGTTGAATTGTATTGATTAGGATCAGTTTTGCGTTTCATTCGTCAATCAACTTTATATTTTCTTAATCTCGTCATCAGGATTCGGCAGATTTCAGCAATGTTTTTGCCTTCTCTTCCGTTAAATAATAAATTGGGATTCCCGAAGTCTTTACTTTATTTTTGACAAGAATTCTAACTATACATGTGAAATGTAATAATTAATGAACACTCTGTATCTGTGATTCGTTGTAAAGTTTTTGGATTTAACTATATGAAAAAAAAGTACCATCCGATCAATAGTTTCTACTTCTGTTTCTCCGTTTACCTCAGAACAAGGTATAACAGAAATGCGCCTCTTCCCGTGTAATTTTAAGCCAGATGATGTGCCCTAGACCCCCTGGAAGTTTCTCTCAACAGTTATGCATCCCCCTGCTTTCGTTTTTTAAATTTTACATTTTGACAAAAAATAGAATATAAATGCCATTTTAAAAAGAAATCTGTAGCTTTAGGAGCAAAGCTAATTTCAGATTTGAAATCTCCACACCCGAATTAGGCAAGATCAGGTATTTGTATAAATTCAAGAAAAAATTTGTTCCCAGGTGTTATACTTAATATTTCTTGATTTAATAGTCGAATTTCAGTAGAGTATTTTCAAATGAGCTAGTTAATAATAATATGATATTAATTATCATGTCAGTATATCGTACTTACTCTGAATAAACATAATTTTTTTTAAACAATATCGATTTTCCGAACTCAAAATATGGGATGGCTGCAATTTTAAAAATGCAACTCAACTAGTCCCCTCCGAATATCAGTCTTTTTGGTCTTAGCAAAATCTAACTTCGCAAAATCAAAAGCTTTTTGCTTGCAATTTTAAAAATCATTTATCCCCTTCCCCCCCAAAAAATTGAACAACAAAAATAATTCATAAATACTACGTAATATTTTTTTAAATTATTTTTTTATTATTTAACTTTAAGTTTGCAGGGGGGAAAAAAACGAAATTCGAAGAATTAAATTCAATAATTTCGTAATTTTGTGTTCTTGAAATTCATTACTTGTATGAAAATGAAAGAATAATTACCAAAAAATAAGCATTCAAAAATACAACTATTTAGGTCTGAAAGTCTTGTAAATTAAGTAGGTAAATCTCTTATTTCATCCCTATAAAAACTCTTAACTAAAATACTCTATCCAATAAAAAAAATCGCTAAAGTCGGATAATTTCATCTAAATCACGAATTCACGACAACTTAATTATTGTTGCATTTCAAAATTAAGCTTTAAGATAGCTACCTTATTCTGAAATGATGCTTTTATATCAAATAATCACTTATGTATCACTGAAGACTTTTCTTTCATGAAATAATTTTCTAGCATCATACAACTGGAATCAATTGTGAGCAATGTGAAGATGGCTATTATCGCCCATCAAATGTTCTAAGAAATCACACTAGACCTTGCAGAAAGTGTCAGTGCACTGGTGTTGGAATGACAGGATTCTGTGTTAAAGATGATTCCCATTTAATGGAAGGACTGGTATGACTTTATAACTCTAATCTCAATAATTCTTTATCATTTATTTCATTTATTAAATAATGCGTCAAGAAAAATTCTTGATTAATCATGTACAATTATAAATATAAGATTCATTATTTCTGAAATAAGTTTCATTATATAAATATGTTTCTCATTGTTCAAACTAACACATTAACTATTACTAGTTATTCCATTTAAGGTAAGTTTAGTTAATTTGTAGCGGGTCAAATTTTTATTAAAAATTCTTGTGACTGCTGGATTGTATTAAGGTGTAATTTTTCTTAGTTTAACTCATTATTACTAATTTAAAGAATTTCAAATTACGTTTTAAAATGGAGAATTTAAGCTTGGTTTAATAAAATTTAATTCTTTTTATTTTTTAAAATTTCTATAATCTAAAATAATGTTTGAAGCCTAATTTTTGTTAAATTCTAATAATATGTCTGCGTAGTACAATTCTAAGTTAATTGCAGAAAAATAAAATTCAATAGCTATCTTTTTAAAAAAGTTATAAAATATGAAATGCATTAAAAGAGGCTAATATAGCAATAAAAAATTAATTTTTCTTTTAAAGATATTTATACTTTCTTGTTAAAAACATAGACTATTATTACAATCATTTGATCATACAGAACTTACAATATAATTTTACAATAAGTCAAATATATATTCCTACTCGAATTTAGAATAAAAATCTACAATTCGTTTAATATTGCACATGATTAGCAATCTTTTTTGGTAAATAGTCAAGATAATTGACAGATTAAAAATAAAAATGTGAATTTATAAAGAATTTAATCATTAGTTAAGGATTTTTAGATATTTGTTTACACAGACATATTCATAAATATCTGATGCCAGAGAAATTTTGATTTATTTCATTCAGAAACAGGGTGTTTCATAATGACAGCCCTTAGTACATATTTTTAAAATCCTTGTCAAGAATAAAATGAAAAATTAGAGCTTGCAGATTTATATTCAATAGAGGAGAAGAAAAAAAAAACGGCTAGAAAAACCCAGTGAATTGTTAAAAAAGGAAATAGAGGATGAATAAAGACATCGAAAACTGTTTGATTGCGTTAAAAAATTGAAAGGAGGTTAAAGGCAATAAATGGAAAGCCTTCAAATTTCATCCAGTAACCTAACTGGTTTTGATGTTTCAATCTCGTCTACCTTGTGAATGATTTCTCAGATTTTAATAGCGCTTTTCTATTTCTCACAATTAAATATTATTTGTGCAATTTTTTTTTACTTCATTTTTGGCAAGGATTCTAAATAGACTCATAATAGGCGATATGATTTCATTTCTCAAAATCAGCAGCAAACTGTTCTTGTGCTAAAAAAAACTACAAGCAAAATTAGGATTCATGCAAGCATTTTTTAAAGCGGAATTATAATACATTTTGCGTGACTTATTGCAATAAAACGGTCACTGAATGGAAAATATTAAAAACTTATACGCGTAAGAAAGTTTAAATATAGAAATGAACTATTTCGAATGTGTCGATCGTAATAATATCGTATTTAAAATACCTAGCTTACAGAAACGATGTGGAAATTGCCTGTCAGGTAGAGAAACAACCAACTGTAACAATTGCCGAAAAAACGATTAGAAAATGACGTTGATTTACGATGGCATAGTCCCGAATTGAATGCATCGAAAATTCACGACAACTAATGTTCAACTACGTAGCCTTGTAATTTTGAACCCAATCCAGAAGACAAGGGAACTTCAGGATCAAGTATTGGGAGAAATTTGTCTTCGTCGAGGACATTTTGATGGAACTCACCATCATTTGCGTTTCATGGAAGGAAGACCATGAGTACCTCCTACGGTTAGCCTGACGGCAAGGGAATTCTAACCCATGATCTGTTTACTACTGAGGATATTTCTGTATTATATATGATATATATATATGATATATATGATATATATTGTAGCCAGTGCAAGCCGGATGCGAAATTCGTACTGATCAGCCATTGCCGGAATTCGAACCCGGTTCACATCATTGGAAAGCGAACGCTCTATCCCCTGAGCCATCACGGCTCCAAAAAAGTATTAGTCAAATTTAAAATTCATGCGTTATTATTACATTATACTAAAAATATCGTTGCATTAAAAACTATAAGAAAAAGACATAACTGCCGATAAAATTGTCGGAATATGATGTGGATTAACGATGGGATAATCGTTAATAAAGCACTTCAAAAAGTGATTACTCAAATTTGAAATTCAGATGTCGAAATATCTTATTAAAGAACCGGGAAGTTAAAAAATCACATTAAAACGGCCGAAAATTCAATATACCCCAACCAAACAGCGAGGTTGATTTATGACAGAATCGTCGCGAACTGAGTACGTTAAAAAATTATTGCTTGAATTTGAAATTCATTCACGTGACATAATAAAATCATATTGAAAATATTGGAATATGTAAAATTACTTGAAAAAGGACGGAAAAAATATCGAAAAACCAGATTGTCAGGAGTTACTAGCAATTTTTTCTATTGCGTTTTTCTGTAACTTGCATTTGACTTTTTTTTCCCCTTTAACTTTTTAACTAGCAATTTTCTACTTGTCTACGAAATCGCACCCTGGCCGTTGATTATCAAACACTCTGTGTATTATCTCCAAGAAATAGATTTTAAATCCGGATGATACTTATTTTCTGTATTTTCTCTTAATTTTATCTGCAACTTTTAAATTGACATTTCTTCTCTTAAATGTTAAGAGATAGTTTTTTAACATATTAAAAACTTACTTGTGCTTGCTAAAGTATATATTTTAAATATTTATAAGAAAAAATTGTATTTATCTTGAAAACTCAATTTTGTATTTCATATTATTTAGAAACCAGGGTCTTTCGTTATTTCCAGTTTCTCATTTCAATGTGGGGTAAGGTGGAAGTTTATTTTTAACTTTAATGCTTCTAGACCTATGCCTGCTTGCCTGATATTTTGTCTGAAACTATATGTAGAGAAGCTGCACTGTAGACACCACTTTTTATGTTCTTCGCATGTAATGAGCTTTGTATTGTGTTGTGCATGTTGATTGTGCCATGCCATGAAAGAAAAAAAAACATTTAAAAGAATATTTTATTCTTAAATTTTATGACTGATCTTTTCCTTTATGTAGCACTTTCCTCGTGAGTGTTTTTGTAGTTCGCACTTTTATTTTTTTTAAAAATATTGTATTACTAAAAGCATAGTGTTTTCTTTAAAAAAACAAGTCGTATGTTTTCCTAAAACTATAGCAGCATGCTTTTCTGTGGCTTTCTGTTTTAGATGTGTATTTTCTTTATTAGGGCAAAAAAATTTTTTTCTATGTTTTGTGTTTTTAGAGTGTTTAGTTCTTTTTACTTACATTTAGTCCAACTAAGCATTTTAAAATGTTTTTAGTCTATTTATTGCATTAACTGCTCTCAATGTATCAAAGGGAAACTATGAGTTTACTTTAGTTTATTTTCTCAAAAATTAAAACATGTTTTGATAATAATTTTTAATTCTTTGTGCTTTTATTTCTTTTTTATTATTATTCACTTGTTATTATGTATGTTTCATCCTGTTCATAGATATTTCAAGGTGATTCTAAGTAATTTTTTACTTTATTTTTTTTAAAAAAAGCTTTTTATAGAATTGAAAAAATTACGCAAAAAATTAATATTTACTTATTTTAAATGTTTTTGTGATAGCTTTATTTTATGCCTTTTAATCTATACATATTTGATTTACTTTTTGTAATAATTTTTTAATGTTTTCATTCTATTTCATTGCTCTTTTTATACTTGTATTCGTTTTTTGTATAATTTAATTCGTATTTTGTTGGAATGGATCTGAATTTGCAAATTTTTAAGGTGCATTATAAAATAATTTTAAAGTTTTCTATGCATAAAATTACTGAAGAAAACTATTTATATTTTTGTTTTCATTTAGAACTTCTATATTCTTAATATAGAAGTGATGAAAATATTCCATATTCTTAAGAGTACATTCAAATAAACTATTATACTGTTTTGAATATGTTTCATAACAGAAATCATATATTTTATTATAATTTTCAATTGAAATGAGTTCTTTGAATTTTTTAACTCAATAAATAAGAATTGAAGGAAGATTGTATTAGATACAAAAATTTATGCACAATAATTACATCAAATCCCATTAAATATAATCGTTAATTAATTATGTCAAAATATGCAGCTGTTAATGTCCTAAATGTAGTTTGTTATGCAACTAGTAATACTATTTTGAACTTTTCCACTTCATAGATATGTCAATTTTTATTTTTTAAATTATTTTAAACTCTGTTTATTAAATTAAAAAAAATCCTTTACTCTGATTTTAAATTATTCTTTCTTTTTTTCCATTCTTTATTCCAATTCTTTTATCACTCTAAATTAGTTTTGAATTTTCAAAAATTTTTTTGCAAAATTATGTTTCGTTAAAGTAAATCTTTATCTTTTTTTTTGAAATTGGAATATGTTATAACCGCTCTCAACATTCTAAAAAATGCTTTGAAGTCAAAGCTTTAAGAAATGTGCATTTTTTCCAGGAAGTGAGCATTGCAATTCCAAGGATTAAAAATTAATGTACAATGCTTCAAAAAATGGACCACCCTGAATAACTTTAGTTCCAATGATCAGATCTTTACGTTCTAGCACTTAATCTTAATGGTTCAAGGGGGTAACCTCAAATATGTTGATTAATTGGCGCAGACGATATTTTAAGTTACAAAATCAAACACAGAAGCATACTCTCTCTAAATAAACATATCTTTCTTTCAACGGATTCTGATTTCTGACCCCCAAAATATCGGGGGTAGCCCCAATCTAGGAAATATGGTGCCCATAGTTTTGTCAGGAGAGCAATTCTATCTTTGAACCCCTTAATGTTAATTTTACTTTTTGCGTATTTCACCATATCTTGAGAACTTTTTCACTAAATTGAAAATATTTTGCCCACATTTGTAAAATTCGCTTCTCCAAAGATAATTCTGTGCAAAGAGTAAATTTTTTGTAAATATTCATTATTTTTATAATTTTATTTAATAATAGTCGAAAAATTTTTGAATTCTAAGGTATAAATTTTTTACATCACCTTAAAGTAAACAATTTTACATGGCGAAATCGGTTGAATAGTGTTTGAGAAATCGAACTTTTACGATTACAACTTTTTCAAAATTCGTTTTCTCAGGAACTATTCGATCGATTTCACTCAAATTTTGCATTTTGCCACGTAAAATTACGTGATTAAAAATGATGCAAAAGATGTGCACCTCACTATTCAAAACTTTTTTTGACTATTATTAAATAAAATTATAAAAAATACGAAATATTTACAAAAAATTTATTTTTTGCACTGGATTATGTTTGGGCAAACGAATTTTAGAATTCTGTGCAAAAAATTTTTCAATTCGCTTTAAAAGTTCTCGAGTCATAGCGAATGGCTCAAAAAATGAAATTAACGTTAAGGAGTCCAAACTCTGAAAAGCTCTCTAAACCTAACTATGGGGACCATATTTCACAGATACCGGCTGTAACTTATATTTTAGGAGACAGAAATCCGAATCCATTGAAAAAAATATTTATTCAGGGAAAGTACTTTTTTGTGTCTGATTTCGTAACTTAGAATATCGAGATAATTAATTCGAACTAACTAATTAATTTCGTAACTAATTAATTAGCATATTTGAGGTAAACCCCTCTAACCATTAAGATTGAGTCACAAAACTTAAAAAAACCGATCATTAGATCAAAAGTTATTCAGTGTGGCCCTTTTTTTCGGCTCACTGTACACTATATAATCTGTACCATCGTGTTATGTTTCTAAAAATGTTAACTCTGATTCATATGCATTTTATTCTGAATGCGACGAGAAACAAATACGTACAACAATAAAACACAAATATTGCTATATCTCATTCTAATCAGATGGGATTGGAATAATCAATATTAATTTTATTATTAATATTCTCCTTACATGCCTGTTATCTTGAATGGACATAAAAAATTATCTCAATTATTTCTAGTGAAGAAATTTAATGTCAGTATTTAAACCTTACATGCAAGTAGCATGGAAATTAATTTTCTACATTTTACAGGAACCAGGTGACTGTTTCTGCAAAACTGGATTTTCTGGAAAAAATTGTGATGAGTGCGATATTGGATACAAAAACTACCCGTCATGCGAACCATGTCCTTGTTATACTGCTGGTACTGTTGGGAGTTCCATATGTGAAGGCGAATGCATATGCAAAGTACAATTAAAATTTATAGCTGCATCCTGTTATATTTCTTTAATATAAATCTAGCCTTTGCTATAGTTATATTTTAATTTTTTTTTTAGACTCATGTAGAAGGCTCTAGATGTGACAAATGCAAGCAAGGCTACTATCACCTATCTCCAGATAACCCTGATGGATGCTCACAGTGTTTCTGTTTTGGAATCACTGATGAGTGCACTGAGTCTGATTGGGGTGTTAACATTGTAAGGCAAGCTCTCGTTTATTTTGCTTTATGAATAAAATTTTTTTTAATGTTTTTAACTGAATTATAATATTATTTCATTGCCCGGGATAGTCTAGTTGGCAGGGCTCTGGACTCTCATTCGTGAGAACGGGAGTTTGAATCTAGCCGGCCGAAGACTCCCTGTGTGGTAAATGGTGATTGGTGCACGTTAAATCTGTAGAGTCACAAAGTCCACCATGTTCCCATAATAAATTATACCTCTGAGGGTACTGAATTGGAGATTGATCGTTCCCCGGTTCAGGTCAAAATTACAATATGTGGGTGAATGAATGGATGTAAGAATGGGTCAGCCCTATAAGCGGGTGAGGTGTATGGGTGTGGCAGAGAGCAAATTCTTGGCCATAGATGGCGCCACAAGAAAGCAAAAACAATCGCACCCTCTCTGCCTTAATGGCTGACGACAACAACAACATTATTTATTTCATTAATTTTCCTAATCCAGATCCAGATAATCATAGAGGTATACTTTAATAAATACCTATAGAGATATTGTATATGAAGAAAAAGAGGCATTAAGTTTTAAAACAAACGCTATCTATACCATGAAATTTTGAGATAATCTAGAAAATTATTTATTTTTTTCTTAAAAGGAATAGATCTAATGCTATTTATATAATTAACACCTTATTCAAACATAACTTACATATAATATACAAATATATAGTGTCAAAAAATGGATTATCTTGAATAACTTTTGATCTATCTAATGAGCGAATTTTTGCATTCTAGGACTCAGTCTTAATGGTTCGATAGGGTGACCTCAAATATGCTAATATATAAGTGTAGGCAATATTTCCCAGATTGCAGTTACCCCTTATATTTTAGGGGTCCGAAATATTTTAGCATATTTTAGGTCATCCTCTCGAACCATTAGGATTGAGTACTAGAATGTGAAAATCTCATCATTAGATTAACATATATTCCAGATAGTTCATTTTTTTAGTACATAGTACAAATATTATGCAGTATGATTTAATACTTTGTTGATACAGTTCTTCAACAATACAGTATATCAATAAAAAAATAAATTTTAATTGTTAAAAACTAGAAAGTAAATTAGAAATATATTCAAGAAATAATTAAGAAATAGTCTTACTTCGTTTGCAATTTGAAAAAATCAGTTCCAATGTGGTCATTAACATTTCATTGCATGACTATTTATCAAAAATATGTATGGTTATAATAATTGTTTTAGGTTCAAAATATTGAAGACTGGCGAGTAACAGACTTGAGAGGAACGCGTATCGTTAAACCAACTCCAGAAAATGGAAATGTTGTTATCGCCAATGATGATGTAACTTCATTTAGCACTTATTATTGGTTAGCTCCACCAGATTATTTAGGAAAAAAGGTATAAAATAGTCAGCATTGCTAATCTCAAAACATATCTTGCAATTTTGAAACAATATTTTGTTATTTTTTAAAACTTCTATTTTCAACCTTTATAGCTTTATTCCTATGGATCAGACCTGAAATTTACTTTGAGTTATGTAGTTGCTAGAGGGGACACGTCTGGAACATACACTGAAAACGCTGACGTTGTTTTAGAGGTAAAATATAAATAACTTTCAAATCACTTAGCAAATGTAGTCTGCAAAAGTTTATTTCATTTATAAATTTTATTGACTTATTTAAAATTTATAGCAATAGTCTTCAAACTCATTGTTGTCATAGACAGATATGTTGAAACTCTGGGAATAATGCTGTTTATGAATAAGGCTGTTATATTATAACATGTTTTTATTCTGTTGGTTTGAGTCTCCACCTGTTAGAAAAATGGCAGATTTTGTCTTTAGAAATAATGCATATTTGATTCATAATTATTTTGATTTCAAACCATTAAGATAAGTTTTAATTAGTTTTCAGTATAAATGAGTTTAAATTAGTTTTTAAAATTATTTAAAAATTAAACTCATATCAATAAGACACATCTGTATATCAGGATGAGCAGCCAGATTTTTCAACAAAAAATAAGCACCCTTTAAACACTCAAAAAATATTTTTAATCAGTCCCCCCCCCAAAAAAAAATCATAATTAGGTTCTGTGCAGCAATAAAAAATTTTTTCTCCATCATTTAAAGTTCTTAATTTATAAACATAAAATTAAAAAACTATTTTCAAAAGCTTTACATAATCATGATAAAATGGCTAGTTTCTGATAAATATTGCAGAAAAAATTGTGAAAATCATGTATTTTTTGTAATTTTGACAATCGAACAAAATATCTATACTCTCTCATGTAAATAATATTTTGCATGTGTTTCGCTTATTTGTTTTTCAATTTTCAAATTATTAGGGAAATGGCCAGCAGATAGGATACAATTGGGGAATCAGGCCAGAAGAGGATGAGGTGGCCATCTCTATACCTTTGCGTGAACAAGGGTGGTTTCTATTATCTCCACGAGAAGATGGAACTAATTCTGTTACAAGAGAAGACTTCACTTTGATTTTAAATGATTTGACAAAACTTTTAATTCGAGCGAAATTTCACACTGATCAAATCGAAGGAAGGTAAGTATTAATAAAATCAATTGTAGCTTAAATAAGTAAAATTCTGAATTTAAAACCCATAGTTCCGTATATCTGCATGAAGTAATATTTTTTTGTTGCTAAATTTATCAAATTTTTTTCAAATCTGCTTTGATATAGAATGCAATATTTTGATGTTTCTGCAGAAATTTCACACATTTTCTTTAGATTATATTTGTCTTAAAAAGTTATTATCATAAATTATATGATATAAATGTCAATAAATAAATAACATTGCATTTCTGTATTTTTAGGTGCTTTTTTGTGCTATAATTCAATTTTGTTAAAATTTTAGAATAATCAGCTTTTTGTATTTAAATTTAGAATAATTCTATTTACATTTAGAACAAATCCATAGCATTGAAATTCTGATTCCTGCTAAATACCAGTTCTGATACCAAGTAAACTCCTTCATACAGCATTGATACAAACTTGATTGACCTTTGAGGGAACTTACATAAAAAAGAAAATTTTATAATATGGTGGTAAAAAAACAAAAACTAATTTATATGGGCTCACGGTTTAGAAGAAGTACTTTTAAAGCTTTATTCATTAAAGGTTAAATAACAGTTTTCCATAAATAAAAAGAAATCTTTCATTTATATTTCAAATTGAAAATAATTTAATTTTTCTTAATATGAAAACTTTTAATATAGCATTAATGTCTTAAAGGTTGCATAACATTGGAATGGAAGTAGCTTCAAATGATTCCAACAGTTTAAGAAAAATAGGATCAGTGGAGAAATGTTTTTGTCCTCTTGGATACACTGGTTTATCCTGTGAAGTAAGTTTTTCAGTATTATTACATAGATATTTAATGATATAAAGATTGTTAAATTTTCTATTAGGTTATTCAGTATGAAATAAAATTTTAATTACTAAAATGCAAAACTTCATTTTTTAAAGGTCACACTAAGAAAGACTGAGGAGTTCACATTTAATCTTCTACCTCATCTACCATTTTTTTTATTGTTTGAATTATTTTTGAAGAATAATAGCTTTATCAAATTAGAGTCTGCCAAAGTAGCTATAATGAAATTCCATTCTGTGCTACTATTTTATGTTGTGTTAATGACATTTAAAAAAAAAAGTTTTTATTTCATATGGAGCACCCTAATAAATAGCACAATTTTCATCTTGAAAACATAAATGTAACTAAATCATTTAAAGATAAAAAAATTTTACAATTAAAATTCAAATATTAAACAAAATGCTGTTTTGGTGTAAATCATTATATGTAGCAAATATTATTTATACTGAATGTTGATAACACACTCACATTTCTATTATTTTACAGCTGTGTGCCCCAGGATATAAATCAATTACAGGTCCTAAAGTAGGTCACATTTGTGAAAGATGTGATTGTTATAATCATGCAGAATCCTGTGATGGGCCGGATGGACGTTGTGAGGTACTTTGAAAAAAAAAAAACAGATTAATTTGGTTTCTCTATAGTATTTACAATTGCACTATTCTCCTGCTTGCGTTTTTTATGCAGTAAAACATTAATACGTTTCACTTTCAACATTCATACTTTTCCCTTTTTTTATCAATCGTGCTTAAATTCCTCTAATATAAAATTGAATATAGTACTTTTATATCTCTGTTATTACATTCAACTTAATTCAAATATATTGTTTAAATCTTAAATGTTTTGAAGAACTAAAAACAGTTTTTCTCTTTTAAATTTTAACCCTGAAAATTTTGTAAATCAATGTGACTTGAAAGTTATTTATTTTAAGCAAAGTACCTTAATATTTAGTTATGTATTTATAATTCACATAAAAATTTTTTAAAAGAAAAAGTATAGTTTAAGCATTACAAAAATTAATGTTAGAATCCAAAAAGACGAGAATATGTCTCATAAGAAAGTTATGAGACATATTAGCATGATGGTGTGCTGCTTTCCTTTGCAGTACAATAAAAAATGGAGTATGCTCAAACTTTTATATTCTCATTGCTCTTTAAAATTCACCCTGGAAATTGGCAGCATTATTTCAAAAGAAATAAAATTATTATTCACTAATTGTGTTTTAGTTGGCACTTTCACTTAGCAATTTAATTGCACAATTTTTAGGCTTAAAAAATTAAAGCACTAATATAAACAATGATATAATAGAAAAATAAGTGAAAGCTAATACTAAGTTCAGAAGTTAAAGTTGTATGTCTTATACAGTGATGACTGTTGTGCCTTCTTTTTTAAAAAGCTACTTATTGTATCATTATGATATTTATGTCAGTGTTTTGAACGTTTTCATTCTCTTTAAATATTTCAGAATTGCATGCATCACACCACCGGACTAAAATGTGATCGTTGCATTCGAGGTTATTATGGAGATGCAAAAATTGGAACGCCGGATGACTGCAAACCATGTGCCTGCCCCTTAGAAAACCCTGAAAATAATTTTTCCCCTTCCTGTACGGCTATTACAGCGCCATCTGGAGACAGTGATTACATATGTGATAGGTGTGCTGAAGGATATGAAGGCAATAAGTGTGAAAGGTATACTGAATGCACTTGCAAATCATCCCGTCCCAGGACGGGTAAGCAAGATTCTTTATTAATAAAAGCTTAGCATTTTACTAATTCTTCTCTCGGTGATGGTTTAGATTTTTATTTTTTTTGCATACTGACATTATTGCTCTAATATGCAAACTTCTATTAACAATTATAAATATATTATATTGCTAAACATAGTTCATACTTGTAAAGAGTGCCATCTAAACATTATCTTTGTATTTTTAGAATATAAGCCAAAAAGGAAATAACACTTGTCTAAGTATTGGGTATTGCAAACTATTTTTTATTTAATAATGGAATCCAGAATTAAAAGATTTAAAATAAACCTCAAATCTAAATTTAGATTTAAATATGTTAAAATTGACCCTAAAGCTGACCTGAATGCTTTTAAGTATTTATTATCTGACAACAAATAAGAATGTGTGAGAGCTAAGTAGACATTTTATAACTGACCTCAATAATGATTCGTCAGATTTTAATATGCATTTATTTTTCTTATTTAAATATTATTTTAATAACTTTATAAAGTATACGAAACACTTCATTTTTGAAAATTTTTAAATAGATATTTTAAAAAGGGGTAAATACAGAACACCCTATTTAAAAAGATGCTGTTTTTCCAATGTAGTAGAATACAATGAATATATTTTTTTTACTGGACTGAGTGTATCAAAACCTCTTGGAATACATATTCTAGCTGATACATATTCAATGCGTACATAAAAATGCAACCAGTACCAAGAGATCCACTAATATATCTACTAACTCTTACATGAAACCATGGATTATGTTACAAGTTACTATTATAAACACAATTCAAGATATTTACTGTAACTAGGTACACTTTATTCATGAGACATTTTCAAGCAATTATTACTCAAAGTAATGCAAATTCTTTCATTCTTATTGAGTTCCAAATTTCTTCTCTTAATGTAATTTGGGTTGAGCCCCCTAGGGCATGTCATGTTGTCGCATAGTTTATGTAATAAAATTATTTATAGGTTTTATACATCTCAAAAGGTATATAATTATTTAAATGTTTTATACATCTCAAAAGTTTTTAATTACAAAAGAATTAAAAACCTTTAAAAACATCTCTTTCTTGTAACACTTAATAACAGAAATTCCCTTTATAAAACAGTTTAACACATAATTCAAATACAATGACATTAACTTGAATTTGTATGTGAAAGAAAATTATCATACTTGATAAAAAAATAAATTGCATAGTTTCTAATCGAAAGTGATAATGATCCAAGAGAAACAACGCAGTTTATATCAAAAACTGAATCATGAAAAAATTACTATCATTCAATTTCATGAAATTATGAAAGTATTAAGCCAGGAAATCACCAACAATTCGTTAAACTGAGGGAAATTTTTTCATAAAATTTCCAATAACAATAACGTTTTGATCTGTAGCATTTTATGAAAAATAGTTTGGTTTATGAAAATGTTGGTTTATGTTACATACATCATATACCAGGATCAGGTCATCGAAATGAAGATAAGGAAATGATTATCAAACCAATTGTTTAGTTAACTTTCTTTAAATGATTGGATAATTACAAGATTCAGTAGTTGAAGAGAACTGGAAAAAATTCCACTGGCAAAGTTTACAAATTTGAGCTGTCATACTTCCTTTTCCTTCTCACAGACAAAAGGATAATAAGATAGAAAGAATGTGAGAAAAGCTAATAAAGAAGTCTCTCTTTTTTAGAAAAGAAAACTCAGGAAAAGTTTGTGCAAGTTTTGTAATGAAAAAACTATTTTGATTGTTCGAAAAACGTATGAAGTCTGATTTGCTAAAAAGAAAAAGGGTAACGTAAAATCTGAGATAATTTAACATTATCGGTATAGGCAATTTTCATGGATCAGCAGAAAATGAAGTAGGAAGTGAGATAACGTATGAAACGAACAACGTATAACTGGGGTTCTACTGTATATTCTTCGAACAATTATCAAATTTGAGTTATTAATCTTTTGTTTAACAGCAATTAAATATTTATTTTTTGAGGCTTAGCTTTTATTTGAGCTACAAAATAAATTCTGTTAACAGGTGCTCTGATGGCTACTTTGGTAACCCACAGGTTCCAGGTGGGTATTGTCAAAAATGTGATTGCAGTGGCAATGCTGATACATCTGTTAAAGGTTGGTGTGACAGTTTAACTGGGCAGTGTCTTAAATGTCTTGGAAATACTGCTGGTTGGAATTGTGATGAATGTATGCCTGAGCATTTTGGAGATGCATCAAGGCGTTACTGCGAACGTAAGTTTAAAACCAATGTCACTATTATAATATATATAAATATGTATATAAGCATGCGAGTTTGCCAAGATTTTACTGGACAGAAGTGACCTATCCTAATTCACTTCTAGTGGTTCATGTAAAAATAAGTCTCCCAAAATTTTCTATTAAAGTAAAAATAATCAATCAATAAACAGTCTTTTAGGGTAAATATGATTTTACTACACCAATTTTTCTCGCAATAAAATATTTAAATTCTTGTATTCTGGTTTTACATAAATCATATAAATTTAATTTAATTTTTTAGTTGAAATAGTTTCACATACCATAGTTACTTACATAATTACCAAAACTGACCCTCTATATAATTATATGTTCATGATTTTAAGTTCTTAAAGATATAGCTCTTTCATTTTTTTATTGCTTGAATAAATATTGTTGTCGAGGTAAAACCTTCACAATTTTGTATATTTTTAATTAAATCTTTTGCAAGCTGTTGTAATCCACATTTTCTTTATCTTTGACACACATCTGCACTCGCACACACAATTAAAATTCTACTTTTCACAGCCATAGATCCTGGTAACAAATTACGAAAATGTTTACTTTGCATATTGTTATAAATATTAATAGCCAAAAAAATGCCAACATTTGAGCAAAGACAACATAGTAATTTAGGACGAATAAGTCTCAATACTCTTGCTTGACAAAAGTGTGTGAGTGCCATGAGAAAAAGTGTCTCTTTTGATGATGCATAAAGCAAATAATTTGTTTAATTCTAAATTTGTGTTATATTTGCAGCTTGTTCTTGTAATCCCGAAGGATCTTTAAGCTCTCAGTGTGACCTTGTTACAGGACAGTGCATTTGTAAACCTGGTGTCATTGGCAGAACTTGTAATCGTTGTGCTGTAAGTTTTTAATTTAAAAGTTTTTTATACAAATTTCTTTTCAGTTTTAGAAAACTTATATAACTTATTTTCTTTAAATAACAATCACTAAAAACTATGAGTTCATTTGATATCGATTTATTTTTTATTACTTAAAATTCGTAGCGTAAAATGTTAAATTCTTCTGTTTTAAAATAACATGTTAATATCTTAAGAGGGTAAATTTTTTTTAAACAAAATAATATCTGGTATACTGTTAAGGAATTTTTTTATTAGAATTTGCATTCTCACATTTATATCTAGGATTAATAAACTTATTCATTTTATATTAAATAGCAACAATGGTTGCCACATATTTCAAATTACAAATAAATAAATAAGTAGAAAAAATAAAAATAAAAATTCTAATTTCAAAAATTGGAATTGCTATCAGTCCAACACATATAAAAATGAATTAAATGAAATTATAATTTGTTTTCTACTGAAAAATAAACACACATTTAATTGGAAGATATTGTATATGGTACATTATATTGTAAATTTCATTATAACAGTTTAAAGAACACTATATCATAATGAAATAAAATTACTTCCTGAAAAACAAATTTTTTCAATTTGTGAAAATTTATTTAAAAATAATTTAGTTTTTGCATTTTAAATAAATTATTTTAAAGGACGGGTATGGAAATCTTGAAGCTGGTTGTGAACCATGCAATTGCAACAGAATTGGTTCTCATTCAGAAGTGTGTGACCCATCATCAGGCCATTGCAGTTGCAAACCAGGAGTTTTTGGCACAACATGTGATTCATGCCTGGAAGGTTATTATGGATTTTCTAGCCGTGGCTGTCAAGGTATACTTTTGATTGTTAGACAATGGTGATACTTATGAAAATAAAATTTATTGAAATGGAAACTGAAGAGTGTTAATTTCTCTTTGCAGAATGTAGGTGTGATCGATTGGGCTCAGTAAATTTACAGTGCAATGAAAATAATGGACAATGTTCATGCAAACCACATGTCATTGAAAGAGCTTGTGATCGCTGCCAAGTAATACCAAATATTACTTATTTTGCTATTCTTAGTATATTTTTTTAATAGCGTGTTGGATACGAATGAGAAAAAGGTACAACCTAGGTACATTATATAATATATGCTATGTGGTAACTCTCTATCTAAATTGATTGCACCAGAATTTCACTAGCATTACCCCAATGATCAATGCATAGAAAAGAATGACATTATGCATGATAAAGATAATAAAGAGTTATAAAGCCTTAATTGATATTTAAAAAACCACTGGTAGTAGGCAAAAGCAAAGAGCTTATTTTCTGTATCTCTCTCTCCATATATATATTAACCCAGGACTTGAACAATGAGAAGCAGGCAAGATTGTGTTAGAGAGATCAGGCTAGCTATAGAAAGTAGTTCGTTTTATGTCCTTTTAACTGTCTTAACTAATTCAAAAATTTGACTCAAAACGGTAATTTTAAAGAAGTTATTAAATCTTCTTTATCAAACTTTTAATGTGCAAAAATAAATAGATAATTTAATCACAGTGTAGTTTGCTGCTTTAAAATTTCTTTCTTCGGTTATATTTTTCTTTATTAGTAAAAATAAGTATAAAAAAATGTTATAAATCTATTGATTTATTAAAAACATTGTGTAATCACAATGTCAAATCACAAGGATTATAGTATTTAATATAACAAAAATGATACATTGCATTAATTTGTAATATGTGTAATAATATATGTTAATATATCTCATGAGAAAAATATTCTTTTGGTATATTCTGCAATTTTTGATAGCCCATCAGAAGAAAAGTGAAAAATTATATAATTCAATGAAAATTGTTAATTATCAATAAACTATATGCCTGTTGTAGGACGGTTATTGGAACCTACAATCTGGAAATGGATGCGAAGAATGTCACTGCAATAGGACTGGTTCATTAGCATCTGTTTGTGACAAAAACACTGGGCAGTGTAATTGCAAACCTGGAATCGGTGGAAAATTTTGCGACCAATGTTCACCAGGATATTTCATGTTTTCGCCACAAGGTTGCCGAGGTAAGAGTTTTACCACATTTTTTTTAGCGAAAAATTTTTAATTACTTATGTTCGAAAATTTTAATTTCAAACTTAATATAAGTTGCAACCAGTACTGGTTTTGTAGCCTCTTAGTGGCCAAGGTAATTTTGTTTTCGTAGAAAATTGAGAAATTTAAATATATTTGTTCTTGTTATAAAAAAATTTAATTCCAATACATTCTTTTGCATTTAAAAATCTAAAATGTTTATATTAGTCATAGCAAATTATTATATTGCTATCTAAGATAAAATTTTTAATAAAAATGTCTTTATTTCCTACTAAAAAAATCATTACATTTATAGCATGTGAACCTTGCAATAAACCCGGTCATATCTGCGATCCAAGAAATGGACGCTGTGTTTGCCCACCATACACAACTGGTCAGAGGTGCCAAAAATGTGTTCGACATGCTTGGGGTTATGACCCCCTTCATGGATGCAAGGTAAGCTGAAGCTAACTCTATTTGATTCCTCCCTAATAATTATCCACGAATAGTTATTGTTTTTAAACAACAAAAAAATATGTTACTGGTTGTAGATTTATGTGTTGTTTTATTATAAAATTAATTCTGCATATCATAATTCAACCATAAATAAATGTTTTCTGAAACTAAAGGTGATCTCAATTTTTCTTCGTAATTCACAATGGCAGTGAAATTGGTCCAATTAAATGAACTATTAATTGCACATTATCTATCCAGATTTACAATACTATCTATACACAGCCTAATCAATCTCATAGTTTGAAGTTATTTTAAATTACTTACAGTGGTCACACCCATCTTACATACAGACATCTTCTGGTAGATGAATCTGCTGCAGAATGATTTTATTATCAATTAATTTCATTCATTCATAAACCGGTGTTATTTTTATTGCTTGAAAAAAAGTTCCAGTGAAAACTTTTACCATCAAAACATTGGGCAACTTAATTCCATCTAGCTTAGTTAATAACATTCCCATTTCGAAACCAAGCAGCCATTAAAACCAGATTGTTGAAACTATAATGGACCTCTATAACGTTTCCATAGTTTATATAAGATTGAAAGTTACAATCTTAGAATGCCATTTTGGAAGTTATCAATTAATGTATTTTACTCATAAATTGACAATCAAAATCAGTACTATTTTTATTGATTGGAAAAAATCTTCATGATAGCCTTTCCTTTAATTATTAAAACAATGAACATCTTAATTTCATCAAGCTCTTTTAATATTAATAACATTACTATTTTGAAACCAAGTTCATGGCATAGTATAGCCAAAACTATTTTGTCTTAAACCTTAAAATTAACCAATAATCCTATATCAACAATAGTTTTTGTTACTCCCTAATTTTAACTAGTTGACAGGGTTTGTTTCAAGTTTTTATTATTTCTACAGCCATGTAGGATAGATGGCTTGCTTGTTTATTCCCTCAATGATTTTTCCCAGCAACTCAATGAAATTCTTTCTTTCTAGCCTTGTGATTGTAATCGCCAAGGATCACCTCAGCAAAGTTGTGATCCCAACACAGGAAATTGCATTTGTCTTGAAGGTTTTGAAGGTAGACACTGTGATCAATGTCGTCAAGGTTTTTTCAACTTTCCTAAATGCAATAAGTGTGATTGCAATTTTGATGGCACGGTAGAAACACATTGTCGTGATACAGTATGCCAATGTAACAATGCCGGGGACTGTCCTTGCAAAGTAAGTAACTTTATAATTATATAAATTTAAATGTAATGTTAAAGAATTGTTTTGTGTAATCTTCTTTCAGGGTTTAAAGTTGTTACACCTTTACATAAGGGAAAAATCAATATTAAAAGTACCCTAGGTTATCCCAAGAAGTGTTTAAACCAAATAAAGTTGAATATTTTAATTAATATATTCATGTTTGTAGAAATTGAAAGAAAAAAAAACGTATGTTGATTTTGCTTGTTCAAGTTTAATTAAAACCTCTATCACAGTTTCTAATAGTAAAACAAAAAAATTTTTTTCAATCAAATTTAAATAAAAACATAAAGTTTTAAAAGTGATATGTTAACAATTAAATTCACGTTTCGGTTTATTTTTATGTACACTTTCTATTTGACATTATCAAATTATTTTAGCATTAGGGTGAATTTTTTTTTAAGCTGTAGCAGTTCAATTATAAATATTTGAGTTTAATTTTAAATTTATAATTTCCATATATGTATTCATATGTGAATTTTATCTTACTTTAATATTATAATTAATTTAGCAACTTGTTACTGGACGAAAATGTGATAAATGTGTCGATGGAGCTTTTGGACTTAGTGCTGACAATAAGAAAGGATGCTATGAATGTTTCTGCTTCGGAAAAACAAGAATATGCAATCAAGCTAACATGTATTGGACAAAGGTACAGCAATTGATTAGATAAGTTTCAGTTCATAATGAATAATGTTGTGCAATAAATTGAACAAACTAGGCTATCTGTTTAACTGACATAAGTATTTTATCAAATCAGATACAAATGATCCTACTAATTTTTAATCACAATCGAAAACTGACTCATTTTAGCTTAATAAAAATGATAATTTATTAATGTATTAATGCACTTAACTTTTCTTTAAATCTAAAAACATACATTGACTGATTCTAACAATAAATGTTGTATACAAAGCGTTAAAAAACGATCAGCCTTAATCTATACTTTAAGAATCCTAGTAAGAATTAAGTAAGGTGACCAGGTGCCCTCAAATTTCATTGATTGTCTTCAAAAACTTTCAAACTCTTTAAAGTCAGAAAATGTTTCCAAATTTTGATATGTATCCTCAAATTTCTCTGAAAACTTTCAATCTTTTTTATATGTAATGAAATATCAAAAAAAAAAAAAAAATGCACACGTTTTTTTTAAAGAACAATATAGTTTTGTTTTAAGCGAAAAGCACCATACTAAAACTAACAGATCAAAACACCATATTTGTCTTAAAGTAATTTCAGCAAAAAATAAGCAAATTTTGATAATCATGTACACATTCATTTTACACGTGTTTAAGTGCAGAAAATTATATGATATTTAAAAATTGCTTAATAATGACGTCAAGTTTGTTGAAAATGGCTCTGCACCTGATATTAGTGATTAATTTTTAAAAAATCTTTGTTGCGCAGAAAAATAAATATTTTTCATAAATATATATGTATCCTCAAATCGTTATATTTTAAGGGGAAGCTCTATTTATTGGTCCTCAGATTATGATTAATAAATCTGGTCAGCTTTGTATTAACAAAATAAAGTATAGTATTATTGGGAGCTTTAAACCCTAAGAAACCTAAAGATCATTTTAATATCCAAAGGTAAGTCGGTATCAGGTTGGCAGAATACACTGATATTTTTCAATTCTTCAAAGTATAATTATATATTAAGGATATATTAAGTGATAAAGGAACAATATTAAAAACTGATTTATAAATATGACACTAATTAGATTTTTAATTTGTTAATATAGTTTGAACAACAACATAGTTTGATTTATTTTTTGATATTTTATTTAGGCATCTTTTCCTTCTCGTGAAATATTTGTAGAAGTTGGGACAACTGAAATTCCCACCTTATTGGGCTTCCAAGTTTTTCCAGAAGAAGTAACAGCAAAACGCATTGGTATACCTTATGTCCTAGACAAACCCATGTATTGGAGTTTACCTAAAGATCATTTAGGAGATAAAGTAAGCACAATCTGTACATTTTGTGATTATTTAATTTCAACATTATCTTTGAAATGTTCATGACACATTTTTATACGTGATACATCAAAGTCTGGGCAATTATTCTGCCGCAGATTTATATCATGATCTGTGGCAAAATAATTGCCAAGTTTTGGCAACTTCTGGGTAGCGGCTTACAAAGGTACACATCACAGTAGGAGACCAACTAAAATGGAAAGAAGAAATTAGACTTTTAAAGAAATTAGCAAGTTTAAAATTCATTTGGTACCTTGGTGGTTGTATTTGATTCAACAGATCATGATACGGAAATATTCCTATGATGTCTAAAATAAAAATATATACTTTGTGTCATTTCTCCTATGACAAATAGAACACCTTGCTTACTAGCAATAATAAATTTGATTTCTTTTTATTGATATATTTTTGTATTTTTAGGTTTTAACTTATAATGGTTATTTGAACTTTCATATTGAAAGCCGAGCTTCTTCAAAATTTCCAGACAAGTTTTTAGAAAGTTATCCTTTGGTAATGATGCAAGGGAATCACAGAATCACACTTTATCATTCTGGAGAAATTCATTCATCCAACGCTTTTTATAGTATCAAGCTGCACGAGGTATTTGTTTCCCAATTACGAATTTCTTTAATGATTCTAAGCACACACTAAAAATAAGTCTAAAAATTATTCATTAATATTACTTAATTATTCATTACTTTTTGTGTAACAATTTAAGCCTTTAGGATTTGTTTTGTTTACTTTCAGGATGAGTGGAAAACGTTTGATAATCCACTGTTACCTGTGACTAAAAGTGCATTGATGGTGGCTCTCCAAAATTTGCAATACATTCTCATTCGTGGAGTAGATGGTCCGGACGTCAAATATGCCCGGTAAGATTAAATGATTGATATCTCTTTTTTAAGAAGTCTACATTCTTTTGGTTTAATTGCATTTTGTGACCTAATTCTTCAAGAACTGTATTGAGTCAAACAAGAAACTCTGTTGTGAGATGTCACAAATGAATAGAGTTGAAATCATTTTAACTCCGAACATCAAGGCCATTAATTTTGTTTTATAACCATCGTTGAACAGTCGACCCAATTTTTGGGTTTACGATTACTAATGTTTAACTCAGTAGAGTTGTAATTTTGAACCCAATCCAGAAAACAAGGAAACTCCTTGATCAGTACCCTCAGAGGTATGATTTGTTATGGGAGCATCGAGGACTTTGTGACAGATATAACGTGCATCGGTCACCATCTTCGGCCGGCGGGGATCGAACCCACGACCTCTTGGATATGGGCCCAGTGCCCTACCAACCAGGCTATCTCGGCCCTAAAACAATTGATTATTCAGTTCCTAGTTCCAGAAAAAAACTTTTTTTTCTTTAATCACTTAACCATCTAGAAATTTAATTATCCTTGTTTTTAGTCTAGATTAATGTGACTAATTGGAATTTTATTATTTATATCATAAATGGATTTAAGATCAATTTAATATTTTCACAGCACATATGAACTGATTAGATAAAAAAAAAAGAAATGAAGATATACTACTAAAATAACTATAATTCATAAAACAATGAATTATTAATTTTCATTTCTGATACTGATAAAGAATGTGCTTGTGATATTTTAATCTAACATTGTTTATCGTATTTTAGGTTACTTAATGTTAGTATGGATGTTGCATCTCCAACTTATGCTCTTGCTCCGGCAAAAGGTGTTGAAATGTGTAGATGTCCACGTCAATATACTGGTACTTCTTGCCAGGTATGATTTTCATTTTTAAATGTTTTTTTACAAAGAGTTAGCCATTAAAAATGTAAGCCATAAGTTTTCCCTTTAATTCACAAGCAAATATAGGGAAGCATTGATATTGTGAAATGTATCACAATAATATGCAAGTCAAAATGAGGGATGAACTGAAATCCTGAATCATAGAAAAGAGAGTTAAAGGTTTGTGTCCTAAAAGTCACACAAAAGCCTCAGCAGTCAGCACTCTTGAGCAAAAATCATACAAGCAATTCATTGAATTAAAACAAATTCATGTTAGTAGTTATAACCTTATTTACACTTATCCAGTATATCATGAGCATTCAAAATATATCAAAAGCATGTTACATTAATAAGAAATGATAAAAGATTTACTTATTTAGTTTTCATATTTATTTGATTTTTATATTAGTAATTAAGAATAATTTTTTTTAAAAAACAAGATTTTATTTGCAAGAGTGTTTTTTAAATAAATTTTAAATGTTAGATAAATAAGGAACAAAATGAGTGTTAGTTGTTAAAATATAAAATTACTAACAGTATCTTAAATCTGACTTCTTTTTTTTTATACTTCAAAAATTAGTTTTCACATTTGTGGGCACAGAATATGTATTCTAAACAATTTTATTTTACTGTATGTGAATGTTATGATATAATATTTTTGTTTACTGGGCATCTTTAAAAAAGTCTTATTAAAATTATATTATTTAAAAATTACTCTCTTGAACGTACCATACAGGATCCTGCTCCAGGATATTACCGGAAAAGAAAACCTAATTACCTAAACAGCAAAGATGTTTTAGATTTAGTTGGATGGGCTGAACCATGTGAATGCAATAACCACACAAATGTTTGTGATAAGGAAACTGGCGTGTGCATAGTAAGTAATTCACATTATATTACACTGCAACATTTGTTTATTTTATAGTAAAAGCTAATATATGCATTTCTTAAAATAAATGATGTTGAATTCATTGTGCAATATTGAAAACTGTTATTTAAAAAAAGTAGAATAACAACATAAGAACACAAATAATGAAATAAATGGAGACAGACGATTGTTTCTGTACTGTAATATGTATTATCATCACTTATTGATACACATTATTATAGTTTTAGAACAATAAATTGTGTCCCTAACTACATAATTTGCAATCTTATGTTATTTTTCTATCAAGTGATTGCAAAATTTTGTACCATTCTGAATTGCATTAACAACAAAAAAGTGCTGTAATACGAGTCAATAGTAATGCGAATGGTAAAATCACAGAGGAATGTTAGCACAACAAAAATTGTGAGAAAATACTGAGTGCAATTTACTTATTGATAAAATGCAAAAAAAATCTCCGCATTTGGTCAATGGAAAGAGATTTTTTTTTCAATTGTCGCCCGATAGAAACTGCAAACGTTTAGGAAGACAAAAGAAAATAAATTCTCTACTTTCACTTAACCTAGTCAATTTAAATTTTTAAGCACTCTCTCATTGTCAAGATAATTGCTATGGTAAAAGAAAGAAGAAGAAAAAAGCAGTTTTGTGTAAACTCTCCCAATGGCCTCTGAAAAAAAATCATATATAATTTTGGAAATCATATAAAAATTTATAAAGCAGTAGAAAAATAACACTTAAAAAAATTGAACGTCTAAAAAAATTGAGACGCTTAAAAAATAATGGAAAATACATTATTGATGAGTAAAAACATTTTTTCTTTATTCGTATTTTGAGTAATTTTAAATTTAGCATGGGTTTTTGTAATCACATTCTACCTTATTCAATACTATAGCATAAAGATGCTCATAATTCTTGGGGTAAATATTTCGAGTCTGGATCAATTACGTAAATTTTTGTTTTTGTGTTGATGTTTAATGAAAACCACGTATATTAGAGTCATATCATTTTCAGAATTGTGGAGGAAACACAATGGGAGAACATTGTGATCAATGTATTAAAGGATATTATGGTGATCCATCTCGAGGCCCATGCAGACCATGTGCGTGTCCACATCTCACCAATAGGTATGAACTTTTTCTCTCTATTTCATTAGAGAATGTCATCATATACCCGGTGTTTTAAAATGTCTGCCTTTAATATATATTTTCAGAATGATTGTTGAAAGGAAGTAAAAATACTCACATTAGAAATCATAAATTATTAATTAATAGTGAAAAATTTTTTTTAATTGAAATTTGATGCATCATTATTGAGGAAAGCAATGTTAAAAATATCCAAACTTGTTTGATTGCTGCAGGATAAAAAGAGGAGTTACAAGGCGAGTGTTAGAAGTATCTTAGTTTCAAGAGACAAGCTGATTTTCCAGTTTTGAGTACTGCCTTCCTCAGCAAGGGATTCAATAGACTTCCATAACGTTTTTGTTTATTCATTGATTAAAAATTGATTTGCAACACTTAATGCATACTTTTTTTGAGATGAATTAAAAAATATATCTTAAGGGTGATTGTTACAGATCACTTTATAACCAAATTTTGAGTTTCAAAGTATTTATATGAAATATAATGATAGCTGATTACAGTGTTAAACCTTCATTTTCGATACTATATTGAAATACGGACTACATTTTTTAGATACAACAAAAAATTAAAACTGTTGTCGTTCCTAATTACCACATTGTGTTGTATAAATAAAAAAATGACTTCATGCTGTTCTTGTGTTATATATTATAAGGTTCTTGTGTTATCTTTAATAATGTAAGTGTTATATTTCATAATGTTATTTATTTTTTTATCTTTTTCATTTAGCTTTAGCGATACTTGTGTACCTGATGCCTTAGATTATACTTGTATTAATTGCCAAGCTGGATATACAGGACGACATTGTGAAAAGTAATTGATTTTTTATACTTTTATATGGATTAGAAAATTAATAATTTATATTACATCAGGACTACTGATTAACGATAAAATTGCAATATGTTTGTCTTCTTAGCACTTTTAAAATATGTAAATTTTATATATTTGTTTCATTCATTGTCATTACTGCTTAGATTTTTATATTATTGTTAAGATGACAAGATGTTAGAGGCTTTTAAAGTGTAAAAAACCTTATTCATAGTCTTTTTTTTTTTAAATATATTGGTATGATAAAATGAGCACAATTTCTAAGCAATTATTTTAAATTAGTTTGTAACCCTAAAACAATGATTTTATACATCATGTTCTATAAAAAAAAGTAAAATAATAAATGAAATTGTATGTATGAGGACATACAATAAAATTGTTTTAAAAAACGATCCTATGAATTGCACAATCCCTAAATCATTTTTCAAGTTTCTGAATCATGGTAAACCAAGAAATGTTTTAACTTTCAAATAAAGGGAAAAGTATGTTTATAGTCCATTCCACCTTAAGTTGGCACTGGAGAGAAAGGTAGGAAATGTAATACTCCGCCTTTGAAAAGTAGTTCTTCGCTATTTTGGAATTAATTGCAGTTTAAATGCGCGTACAAATATAAATAAATGTTGCATAGTAAGAAAAGTATGTCTTGAAACATTCATTAGAAGTTTTTCATGTTTAAATGTATTTAACTTATAAATACCTTCTCAGTAAAGCGAATGTACAAAGAAGAAGGAGGTGTTTTAGTTTGGCGCTGAATTAGTTTTCAAGGACAAGGAATTGGCTCATTGGCTATGTTTCTACACTGGTCAGTCAGCTTTTCCATTCGCCTTGGCTTTGCTTAAGTGTCCTATCTCTTGTGCAGTTCTTATTTCGTTTTTTTTTTGTATTTGATTATTTAATTTTCTAAATATTAACCTCATCTGTACAATATTTAATGAAAA